GTACAAAAAGTGTACCCCAAGGGTACAAAATTTCCTGGGGTACAAAATGACGAAATGGGGTATTGTACCCCAAAATGGGGTACAGTTGGCAGCCCTGGCTCAGACCTAAGTACAATGATAAAGAAACTTATATATATATAGATTCAATGTCTATAAAACGGCCGATCAATAAGGAATACAAATATTTTTAACAAAACATCAATATTTAAATTTTACTTTTAATCTCTAAGATAAATTCTTTCAATATACATATAATTTACCAAACTATACTATTAACTTATTTATTTTCATCAATATTATCAAAGTCTTCGATGATATCTCATAGTTCAAAATACTTTCTTATAATTTCTCTTAGGATGTGAATGTAGGTAGACATGAGAAGTTACCATTACCGTCCCTCGGTAACAGCAACGGTATTGCTACCGTTCCCTGGGTAATTAGTAATCCGTTATCAGTTACTATTTCCTAGTAATTTCTCCAAAAAGATAAATCATTACTTTCCATTGACAGAATATAATCATTAGATTATTTATTAAGTTGAACCATTCTCAGGTAACTAATAACTCCAAATTCTGTTTACTGATATATTGTAAATATTAGGTCGAAAAAAAAATGAATATTTCGTCTTTTTGAGGAGTTACCAGAAAAAAAGTAATTGGTAACTCCTTTCATAGGAACTATTACCGTTACCGTTTTCAGGTAATGGTAAATTCCAATTGCTAGGTGTGAGTGTTAATGTTATTTCAAATCCTACCAACATCCACATTCACATCCTTTCATATCTCTTCTCTAGCTAAGTATATTTAATAGAAAAGTTATTACTTTTGTTACGATGTATTGAATATGTATAGATTATATTGTCATTTCTTCTTGATAAGTCAAACGTATAAACTATGCATTGTGATCGCTTACTCAGATTGAATTTAATGAAGCAATTTCAATACGTATGAATGATTGTAATAAGTTTTATCTTATCATCAATAATTGTGTAAATTGATCGTTCTTTCACTCACAACAATTACAATAAATCACATGATAATAATCCTATGTAAAGTACCAAAAGATAGTATGAAAAACAAACGATTATACCAACTTTGTTTAATTTTGAATGTTAATCGATTTCTAGTTTTCTATTCATTTATATATATTAAATAGTTCATTGAATTCATTTATGTGAAATATGATATAATTAATGATGCAACAAATTTTCAAAAATCTACGATATCTATTAAAAAAAATTTTCCATTAGTTTTCTTTAATGTATTTATATCTATTCTTAATCTCCTTAGATATAAAAGCAAAACAAAAAAGAAAAGAAATTTGATGATTTACTAATATTTATTTGATTTTTGTTGCACATATACTAATGATAAAAATGATAAAATTGTGAATTTATTTTACACAGAAACTATTTTTGTTATTGTTGTTGTTTAATCATCGATTATTATTCTACTTGAATTTCAATAGAGATGATTCATTTTCTTTGATTTTACTACAATGAAATCAAGTACTAATAATTGATGTATATATTCATCATAAATATTCTATAATGCATCTAAAGTACTAATGACGAGAGAATATTTATTCTTCAGTATCTTTCAAATTCTTTCATACGGAAAAAATTGAGTTTTTTTTTTTCTGTAAGACAACGATCATTTTTTATTTGTCAAAATAAAATTAATTTAACAAATGATATAGAATAGCACAATGTAACACAATACATAGAAGAAAACAAATAGAATGACATCATCAAAATAAAGTTTCATTTTATAGAAACAAAATACTTCTAACTTCTCCTATCAATATCGATAAAAGGAAGTAAAAGATCAAGAAAATTCTTTTTTTTCTTTACTTACTACATATAAAAATCTTTTCATTAATCATTTACTTTTACGATTTCAAAAGATGATGTTCGACTCAAAATTTCTGTCTATATTATTTATAATTTCTGTAATAAATACAGTTCATGGTTCATATTCTTATGTTGGTTGTTATAGACACGTTTTTTATAATAGTTATTTTTCAAGTTCATATATGGAACCAACATTATGTTTTCGTTTATGTGAAACACCAATTATTTATATAAAAGGTAGTATATGTCGATGTTCTGGTAGTGGTATTATGGATTATAGTCGACAGAAAGATTCATTTTGTAAAAAACAATGTCCAGCACCAGGTAATCGTGAAAGTAAAACTAAAAATACATGTGGGGGTATAGAAACATATTCAGCTTATGCGGAAGAACAATTTTATAGTCGACATGCTCAATTATTTGATTATAAAATTCATTTTAAATCATGTATATTTTGGAATACAACTTCTTATTATAATACATTCGAAGTTAAAATTGATCAATCATCTGTTAAATCACCATTGACTAAATTGGATCGATGTGGAGGTCAATGTCTTGATCAAAATGTGACGATTAAATCAATAGGTAAATACATAAATAAAAAATATTTGAGAAACGAATCATCATTGGAGAATTTTTATATTATTAGAAATAAACTCGAATATTTTCAATCACTATTTTATATCTTAATAATATCATTAAGTTGAAAAATCGTTCAGATCATATTAATAGATACTCAATAAACATTTGATAATTGTACAGTCAACTTTCGTTCATATTTCATAGAATATTCATATGATTTTTGAGAAGTTTGTTTGAATATATATATATATGTGATAACTAAAATTTAAATATAGAATGATTTTAATTAGAAGATTTATTTTGATAATTGAAAATATTATCATCTTGAGATTTATTCTCAGTAAAATTCTTCAAGGATAATTAATGAGAAGAAAATATCTTATAGATCTTTATTTATATTAAAATTATGAAAGAATAATATAATTATTCTATAAAGTCTTAGTTAGAATAAAATAATAATCGTCAACATCGATACTTAAATTGTTAATTAGAAAAAGTATAAGAGAAATATTTGATAAATTTTCTAATATTGAAACTTAACAGAATTAATATTTTATTATTTCTTCTTAATTATTCTTTTGTAAAAATAAAAATATTGAAATATTTCTTTTAGCTTTTAACCGTAATGAAAATCAATGTTTATGTATCATATCACAGAATTTAAATGTAAATACTGATCGTTCACTTAATTTTAAAATTTTATCAAATAATAGTTGTGATTTGTATTGTGATAATACATTTAATGATTCAAATATTGAACATAAATTCAAATGTGGTTCATTGAATGATTCACGCATATGGGCTATTTATGAATTAATCGATATTTGTCCAACCGGTTTTATTTACATAAGAGAATTAAAAAAATGTATGTATTCATATAAATATCGATGGGATTCATGCCCATCCTCGTCGAGAGGATTTATTTATAATAAAACTATAACATGGAATATTTTTCTAAAAATTATTGAAAAATTAAATTTGAATACATCAACTGTTATGGTAAATTTTGATGATGATGTTCGTATTGATCCTTCATGGAAATGCTCAATAAGAACAACAACAACAACAAGAACAGATTCAAGTGAATCCAGTGAAAAATATGCTCGGTCGACTTTAAATAGACTGTACTTATTACAGGATGGCTGTTTATATGAATATGTATATTCATATTATTCAAGTACGAGTTATAGTCGTTTGTGTTCAATGGATCCAATAAGCAATGATGTGTACTCGGATACCTATCGAAGTTATTTAACATATTTGCCTGTTAATTCTGAAATAATGTATGATTGCCCAACAAATTGGCTTGATTTAAATAATCATTGTTATCGAATATCAGATGAACGTAAAACAATAGAAGAAGCAAGAAATAGTTGTATTACTATATCTGAGGATGAACAAAGTAAAAAACATGATGAAGTTATAGCACATGTGAGCAAATTTGATGATGATGATTATGATTATGATGATGATGAGAAAAATGAAAAACAAAATAAAATTCAGAATTATATTAATGATTTACTTAAAGGCGAAATTGTTCAATATACATTATCATGGCAAGCTCGTCTTGGCTTTTTCCTGCTTGACACAAGTAAAATCTACAATAAAAAATTTTATGAATATTTTCTTTAATATAGTAGTTCATTATAGTTTAGGAAATATTAGTATCTTTTTTATTTATGAAAAAACAATAGATTAAACAAATAAGATTATTTTTGTTTTCATTTTCGATGGGAAAGAATAATTCGACTGAAATGGGCTTGTTTAAATGTTATTCTGTTTATTTTTATTGATATTACGATGGAGGATTCTTAAGTGATAAAATACGTTCAAGTCCTCACTATGTATACCATGTGTACCATAATGAGCTATGAAACTTATGAATAGGGTTTGAACTGCTAGATTGTTTTGAATTTTTCTGGTATTTGTTTTTGTTCAATTCTATAATATCTCTTAAAGACATCATAAAGTTGAATTTCGTATTTCGATTTGAAACATTGTTCATATACAGTTCTCAATGAGAATAGTTCATGGTGAAAGTTTTCTATCTTCTTCTTGTCCCTGTTCTAAGATACAACTATGATTAGAGTGCCTTTGTCAGATTGCTCATACATCGGTAGATTCCAATATTCTTATTTTAGAATAGGAAAATTTGAAAAAGCTAAAAATTTAACAATATCTATATGTATATATATAATGTTCAGTGTGTGTGTGTCTGTACCGGGTCAAAGATTAATGGTCATATAAGGCTATAGGGGGAAGGCAACAAAGGCTATTATATGCAGGCATCTATAGATCATTAGCGTCTATTATACAGAGGGATCCATCGATCCTCAAGGTCTATTATATGGAGATACCCATAGGTCCTCAAGGGTGTAAAGTAGGAAGAGAATAGGTAATAAGGAATAAACCAGGAAAAGATAGATAATAAGGAGTAAGGCAATAAGGTGATAAGACTAGAAGATATATAAGGTTCAAAGGTGAAAGGTTGTAAGGGTTTCAAGGGATATGAAGATAAGCAAATAAGGCTATAAGAAGATAGAGGATAAGAGAACAGGAGTATAAGAGTATGTAATGTTCAGTGTATGTGTCTGTACCAGGTTAATAGTCAAAGTTCAAAGGTCACAAAAGAATAGGAGAAGCGAGATAAGGAATAGGCAGATAGGGGGTAGGAAGATAGAGAGATATGAAGATTAAAAGATAGTAGGATAGGATGATAAGGAAATATGGAGATAGAGGGATAGGGGGATAAAAGCTTAAGGAGATAGAAAATGGGAGTATAGAGTAAGAAGAGTAGAATGAGATAGGAGGATTAGAGAATACGGGAATAAGTAGATGAGGAGATAAGGTATAAGGGAATAATGGAGCAGGGGAGTATGAGAAGTACAATTATAAGCGTGTAATCGGCTACAGGTATATATGGGATAAATATATAAAGAAGTAAGGAAATACACCTATAAGTAGGTAAAACTACAATATTATAAGACTAGTGTTATGTCATCACTCTGTCTTATCGCCGTAAAGCAACGTGATGGTATGACCACAGAACAGAACAAAAGAATAATCTCCCTTCGCATGGAATCGAACCATGCATCTCCTGCTTTCCGGGCAGTCGTATTAACCACTGTACTAGAAAGGAGTAGTCATCATTCGTTTCGTTCTGTCTTATGTTCGAAGAGGAACACTTCGAACATAACAGCTAGAAAGAACAAGACTGTGTAGTCTATTTATTTACCTAATGCAAAGTATCTAATTGTCTGTCACCAGATCAAGTGTAAAGCATGATGTGAAAGTCTAGAGAAAGCAGTTGCCGTGCAGTATGCACGGGTTCTCTCTAGTACTATATTATTATTGAGGGCTACATATAAGAGAAATTTGAAGTCGGCATTCAAAAGTCAGTTTTTTTCTAATTTGCCTAAGGGAGACCACTGCTGATACAACCCTAGTTCATTTTTCTCCAAAGAAATCCCCCTGGGAATCTCCACAAAAACTCATTGGAAAATCACGACAGAGATGGTCAAGAGAGTGGCTTCACAATAAAAAATGCAGTACATCAAATTTATTAGTAATGTTATCACTGAGAGGTTTACCTATCTCTCTATCTATGTAACTATCTACCTACCTACCTATCTATCTATCGGCCTATCTACCTATTGACGTATCTATCTGTCTACGTAACTATCTATCTCTTGCTACCTGAATACACCGGAAAAAATAGGTTTTTTTATGAAAGTTCTGCGAGTGTTCAGATTGTCTAAGATTTCATATCAATATATGAAACTCTAAAAAAGTTTAGTAAATCATTTCCTGATCCTATTTAGATTCGGCCAATCGATTTGAAAACTGAAATGATCTAATCACACGTACAGGTTTCGTAAGAATTTTTTCGTACAGCATACCTATCTATCTATCTACCTATCTGGCTAGCTATTTAATTACGTATCTACCTGCTCATTGACTACTTACCTATCTATTTATCTATCATCATATATATCTGCCTATCTATGTATCTAGTTACCTGTCCACCTATTTCTCATCCACCATATGATACTTTTGGAAGGAAAATTTTAGTGATGATATTACGGAAAGTTCGTCATAAACTCAAATTTTCTTTACACTGTAAAGAAAATTGTAAAAAAAATAATTCTTTTGGAATTCCCCATAGAGAGACTCATCGGTGACTTCACGAGTAACAGTCGACTAAGATTAACAGCAACAAACTATCAGATCGAATCTGTTTTTTTACAGTATTCATAACTTGTTATGGTTATGCATACATTGAAAACAAAACGAGTTTCGTCGTTTTGTAACAAATTCGAAACTCTTTTGGTTTCATATAACACTATCAAATCTTCTATTTTTGATAATACTATCGTAGTACTAAAGGAAACTAAAAGAAGATTTCGAATTTGTTACAAATCGCAAAATCGAAAAAAAAGGGGTTTCGTGCATATCACGAAACCCCTTTTTAAGTTTTGTTTAAAGCCTTTTTTTATTTTCAGTGTATTTCCGACTGAACAAATGATCTATCATATAGGAACCTATTCTCGTTAGATGAATGTCATAATATAAGTTTATTTTTGTTTTTTATTTAAATAACAATATACATTGTTATCAGTGAAATATATACTATGAAATCATTCATAGATTTGAATACATGTAAAAGATCTTATTAGAATAAAAATTCATAGAATAAAATGTACGTAGTATCTTTGAATTAGAAAAGAAGAATAGTAGCAAATCCTTTCAACCGAAAAATATAAGAAAAGTTCTTTTTTGTTTTTCTGAAGACTCTTAATTCTATATGAAAAGTTCTTCAAGAATTTTATATTGTTTTCTGGAATAATTCTCATAGATAAATAAAAAATAGTTGTAATTTGATAAATATGATCTTTTTTATGAATTTCGAGAACATTATAAAATATAATAAGAATAAACATAGTATAAATACTTTTAAAATAAATATTAAGATGATTTTCCTTTTAGACATATCAGATGATAAATCAATCGATGAAGATGATACAACGATATCACCATTAAGGGTCAATGTTAATAAAAATCGTTTATCTATAAATGAATTTCAATTAATTGATTCAGATGAAATAAATAATTCAACTAGAAAAAATGATTCATGTTTAGTTTTTACACGTACAATAATTAATGATAAAGAAAATTCTATTTTAAAAAATACTCAAATAAATAATTGTTCAACACCAAGATATGTTTTATGTTCAACAAAACCAATAATGAATCGTCAATTTGAAAAAGGTTGTTTTATTAAACCATTAACACTTGGTGTACCAGTTCTTATATCAAAACATATAACATATGAATTATGTTTTTCAGTTTGTAAACAATTAGAAACAAATTTAATTATTCTACATATCAATAAATGTTATTGTTTAAATGGTGCTTTTACATGGATTATTGAAACAGTGCGAAATAGTTCAAAATATAGAAAAACAGATTGCGGAAATCCTTGTTCAGGTATGTTTAAATAATAAATATTTATTTTTATTTTTATAGTAAATACAATTGAATTATACTTAAAAATATTTTTTATTAAAGACAATATTTGAACGCGACGATTAAAATCAGTCATGTAAAAACCTGTTACTGGAATTTTCTCATTGTCCTAACATATAAGAAACATTGATATATTCATCATTGAATAGATGATCCTCAACCGACCATCCAATAGGCAATTCGAGGCGTCGATTTCAGCTTCCGTTGGGTATCGAAATTTCAAATCGGCTACTAGAAGAGCCACTTTGCGAAACATGATCTGAAAAGCATGTTAAAGTGTTTTGGGTAGAAATTTTGGACTCCCCCCCCCCCCACGGACTGTGACAGAGAAACTGAATTTTTCAAGCGTCAAATAAACAGCAGGCTACGAATCTATCACGATGAAATAGAATAAAAAGATATTAATTTAATTATGAATAATAGGTCTATCGTGTTTCACATTTTTAATCCCGCAAGGGATTGTGATAAAAGCTTTATCTATGAATCGAGGTCTTGGCATTAGATTCCTTTTACTTGCAATTTTCAACTTCTTCAATGATCGTCATTGATGAATTGTAATTTGATCCAAAGACAAAAAAAAAGAACTTTTGTCCAATAGACGTCCCAATTTCGAGTTGACAAAACCTATCGAGTGTATGCAGAGATATAGATTTGAACACATGTACTTATAGGTTGGCAGTAGAAATGTCGAAAAGAATATACATTAAGAAAATGACTCATTATTCTTGTTAGAAAATCTTGAAATAGAAGAAATGTTTTGTATTTTTTATGCTAACACTAACATATGTTAACAGAAAAAAATGTATGGATGAAGAATTCAAAAAATCATCTTGTTTTTCATGAAGACATTCATGAATTTGAATATCTTGTTTTTCTGAAGGTTGACTATGATCATCAATTGTTTTAAGTAATTTATCATTCAAATTTGTATGAATGTTAGAAGAGCAACCATTATATATATACTTTCAATATTTAGTTGTCATTGTTGTTTTGTTCAGTTTCAAAATATATTCATTTGCTAATAATAAAGTTTTTCCTTTTTTGTGATTTAATAAATGATACGCTCAATTTTATTTGAGTTCCGTCATTTGAAAATACCGTATTTGTTGCCATACTATTATCTTGTTAGTTATTTATTTGCTTTCTATATAGTTGTTTATATAATCTCTATCACTTATTAGTCATTATTACTACTAGTGGCGACAAATCTGGACTAGTAGAATTATAAGAAAAGAAAACATGCATTGTTCGAATTTAGAGTTGTTATTTATGGGAGAC